TAGCAGTGGTTCAGCGAGTAAAGAATCTGCCTGCAATGCCAGAGATGCAAGTTTGATCCCTGGGTCGAGACGATCCCCTGGAGGAGGAAATAGCAATCCACTCTAGTATTCTTGCCTGAAAAATCCCATGGAAGAGGAGTCTGGTAGGCTACAGTCCAAAGGGTCACAGAAAATCGAACATGACTGACCGACTAAACACACTACATATGACCTTAGTATTGAGTAAAATCACATTTGAGGGGCTTCCCTGGTGGCTCCCGATGGTAAAGACTGCCTGCAATGCAGGAGACACAGGAGATGCTGATTCAATCCCTGGGGTGGGAAGATCCCCTGGAGAAGGGAATGGCTATCTACTTCAGTATTCTTGCCTGGATAATACCATGGACAGAGGAGCCTGTTGGGCTACAGTCTGTGGGGTCACAGAGTCACACCTGAGCGATAACAAAGTTTGAAGGGAACAAAGTCATGACCATTTGTTTACAAATTGTGTAGGGCTGCTTTTATGCTACAACAGCAGAGTCAAGGGTTGCAGCAGAGATTTATGGCCTGCAAAATTGAAAATATTTCTACTCTCTGGTTTTACTTTTATTTTTTTAATACACCTCGCAACATGTGGAATCTTTGTTCCTCAGCCAGGGATCAAACCCAGACCCCCTACACTGGAAGTGTGGAGTCTTAACCACTGGACCACCAGGGAATTCACATCTTTGGTACTTTAGAAAGAGGTTGCCCTCTCCTCTACTTGAGCTAAAAAGGAGCTTTACGATGTCATGAAAGAGATAACCAAGAATCAAGGCAAGGGGAAGGGAGGAAGAGATGAAAGAAGGGGTCTGGTCCCAGGGCCCTCCCATCAAGGGCAAGGTCTTTGCCACGTTGCCTTTTATTCTAGGGATACCAGGGACACACACATTTAGGAATAACCTCAGCCTATCACCCCGTTTCTTTTCCTCCTCACTCAAAGTTCTGTAGAGCTGTCTCTTTAAGATTCAGGCAAGGCTAAGAGGAGTACAACACATAGACACACATCCTAACTCCAACCTGGAACCTTCCTGAAATTGAACCCATTTCTCCAATACTGAGATTCTTTGCCAGGACATTCAAACACAGCTCTCTGGTGCCCACTGAAAAAGTGTCTGGTCTCTCCAGTCCCTAGCCGTCTCTGCACCTCCCCTTCAGCTGATGTAGCTGATTGATTCTCTAGGTTCTGACTGCCATGGCTCATGCATACCTTGTTTTGGACTAACTTGGTGCATTACTCCCTCCAATCCTTTCTAGGGTCTGACCTCAGCCTTGAAACACCCTCCTCTATAGAGTTTTCCCCAGTCTCCAGGGTCAAGGAGCCCGAAGTCAGATTGAAGATCTGTGCTGTTTAGTTTGGTTAACCCAAACTCTTTATCTCTCTTGTTGACAGACTTAGTCTTAGGTACTTTCCTGAGGCTTTCTACTTCCTGTAGAAGGTACCTCCCACCCTTTATAGCTGACATCTCTTCATCACCTGCCTGTGACAAATAAGCCCCCCTCTGCTCTAACTTCCCCACCCAGCTGACTCCCAGAACCAGAGGTGATGGATTTCAGGGATGCTGGTAGGAGAGAGGGTGGGAATGTGGGGATCCCCACCCCCACTCCACCTCCAGATTATAATCTCTAGCCTGATGCTCCATGGTTTAAGGAGAGGTTTTCCTGATTGAGTTTACTCTGGTGGGGGAGGGTGTGAAGTTCAAATGAAGCCTCTGTTTGTAAAACTGGGGGGAAGGGGAGGGCAGAAAATGAAGGAGGATCTGGTTGGAGAGAATCTGGAAAGGAATGAAGAGTTCCTTGCATTTTGTTCTGACTCTCATCCCTCTGCTCTCCAGGTCTATCTAGATCCTCCCTCAAGGGCTCTTGAGAGAGGGTTTCTTAAGACACTGAGACACTCATGCCGTCACGTGGGTCAGCACCTGGGCCCTTGCGCTCGACTTCACTCCTAGTTACCACAGAGGTTGAATCTGGACCAGTGAAAAGTACGGGTCTCCTCAGACCCACCCCTGCAGCTGTGAGCACCTGTTTGCAGGGAGGCCCCCAGTTGGGGAAGTCTTGCAGCTAAATTTAGCCTGAAGGCTGAAGCATAATTGGGTGGGTGATTACCCTGGGGAAACTGGGAGGGGGAGGGGGGAATTCTGACCCAGCTGAACAGAGACCTCAGAAGTCCACGGATTAGAACCAGTCACCTTCCCCCAGCAAACACTCAGAAATGAGAAGCCCCAGCAATCTGCTGGCCTTCAGCACGCTTGATCTCTCTTGCGCTCATCAAGATTGTTCCTATCGTCACCCCACCCCCACCTCAACTCTCAGGGGGCCAGTTCCTCTGAGTCCTTCCCTAAATTCCCCCCAGAGCAGCAAGGCTAAGGGCCTCTGCACCACATCTCCCAGAACTTGGGTTACAGCTTCCTCTCTCCCAAGTCCCTCCACAGGGTCTCAGAGGTCAGCAAAGAGGTGTCTGGCCACAGTAATCCCCTGAAAGAGGCCAGGAAAAGGGGTGCTTGAGGTCAGCTTCCGCTTCCTGAAAACGTTCACAGGGACCCCCCTTCCCATTCTGCCCTCAGTGACCAGAGGAAGGAATCCTTAGGGGCTGCACTGACTCCTAGCTTTAAAATGCGAGGGGAAAGGGGGCACCCCCCCATGAAAGCCCCTGGGCTCTCAGGGAAGGGAGGTGTTGAAGCTGGGGGAGCCCTAAGAGGGGCTGTGGCTGCATTCCCCACCTGTGATTGGTTCTCAGGCTAAGGCCAAACTCCAAACCTGCCCGGCAACAGTCCTGAGAGGCCCTAAGGGGGAGGAGGAACTTCGGGGAAGTCAGCTGAACTGGGGCCACCGCCCAGCCTTCAGCTTCCAGGAATCACTGGGAGGGCCCCAGCTCTTCACCACACCCCTCCCTCGGTCTCAGGACTCCGCCTTCAGCCTGCAGTGTCTGCAGGGCTGGCTCAGGTCCCACTCCCCTGGTGCCCCCACATCTTTGATCCCCTTAGAGGTTCACCAAAGAGAGGAGCCCGTCTGATGCCTGCAGAAACACCGAGACTGGGCCTCCTTGGTACCCCGTTCTTCATTTCCCACCCGGGAGGAAGTCAGTTTCATTTTCCTTTCTCCCCATTTTCTTCTGCCTCCTTCCTGATACACTGTCCTCCCGAGATGGTACCTGTAGTCTTCCTTCTCAGCCACTTCCAGCCCAAGGAAAGCCTGCTTCCCAAGGCAACAGAACCACGTGAGGGAGCTGCCAGAAAGGAGAGGTCCTGTCCCCTCGGGTAGCTCTGGGTCCTTCCCAGGGTCTGGGTGTGTCTAGGTGTACATGCTCAGGACACTAGTCACTGCGTTCAGCTGTTTCTGCAGGCCTTTATTTATGATCTTACTTGGCCAGACTTGTGGAGGTGAAGGGATGGGGGCGGGATCCTCCTAATGGAGAGAAGCTCAATTCTATTGCACTTACCCCTTTCCTAGGCATGGGGACCCCTCCCCCAGAAGTGTAGGGGTCGGGTCGGGGAGAGGATTTGTGTTATGGAAAAGGCTGTCCGCGCTCACACCACCACCAACAAACTATTTACCTTGAGAGCGGACATGGGCGTTGGGGGGTTGGGAGGAGACCAGGGTGAGACATCTCTGAAGAATGTGTCTTTGGCTGGACATCCAGTACTGCCTTGGCTCCACCCTCGACTCCACCCCCTAGAGCCAGGCCAGGCTCCTCCTCCAGCCCTTTCTGCTGAGGGAAGGGGGGGAGGGGGAGAATCATTTCCTTTCTTCCCACTCTATAAAAAGCAACAAACCAAAAGCTTAATAGGGAAATGGGTAATAGCAGAAAAGATGAGAGGGGCAGGAAGGCAGGACCAAAGAAAGGGAACAGGAAAAAGGACCCCTGAAAAGGCAGCTGTCATTCAGCTCAGCCCCAGATGGAAAAAAAAGTGCTACTCGATTCCAAGAGACTTTACAGAGGGACCCAGCCTACCAAGAAACCCACCGTAGACGGAGTAGTTTCTATTTTGGACCCAAGGGCCCAACTCTGTACCTAAACTGGGGGAAGTGGTGACCTCTAGTGGTTGATGACCAACCTGCAGGGCCTGCGATCAGCCTCTGCCTCTGACCAAGGCTTCATTCAGGTCTCAGGTGACTAGGGCGCCCTCATTAGGCTTTCTGTGCCCAGACTTTCTCCATCTGGGCTCCAAGCGCGGTTCCCCTTCCCACCCTTCATTCTTATCTCACACAGCTTGCTTAGGTGGCCTGTACAGCTGGGTTCCCACGAGGACAATGAAGAGCCTGTTTCTCATTTGTCATAATCATCTTTAATAAAAATAAATTAGTTCTGGAGTAGGAACCATTTTAGGAGGTGGGGAGCAAAAGCAGGGGCTAGGATGTCTTATTCTAAACTTGCTCTTTTCCATCCTCTGCCCAGCTGGTCCCTGCTCTGGGGGACAGTCTCTCTTCCTGGAGGGCAATCGCTCACCCCCACCCCTCATTAGCTATGAGAGGGAGGGATAGAGACTAGGTAAGGGGAGAAAGGGTCAGAGGACAAAAGGATGGTTTAGATGATATGTGGCCTGAACAGGAGAAATGCGGGTTAGGACACAAAATTGGGATTAATGTGGAGGCCAGACTCTTAAGTAACTCGGATTTTCAGCTGCAAACTCGCTTTCCTCTCAGCCCAGAAAACTCTCTGGGAAACTGGCATCATCCCCTCCTGGGGGACTGTGTAACTTCTTTTTGAGAAGTGATACAGATGTATGGGCGCACACACATCCTCACGAGCCCATACACATTTGGCTGCATGTGTGCGCACACACCATCACACCACCACACAGGCACAGACCCAGCCACACATCTTGATGGTCACTGTCATCTTGCCAACTTCCATCACCCTGGGGGACGTCTCTAGTGAGACCAGGACAGGCTGGAGAGCCAGAGGATACAGAGTGGGATGATTGAGGGGTGACTGATGGTGGCATGAGAAAACCACAAGGAGAGGGTCTCCTGGACCCATTTCAGGCGGGCTCTGGGGGAGACCGCTCCAGGACATGGGCACAAGAGCGGCAACAGGTGGCTGTGTAGTAGGGATAGACGCAGAGCCGGGCCTGCACCACCAGGGGGCAGTGTGGAGAGTTGTCCTTGCATTGATCATCTGGGGACAGAGGAGGCCATTGGGCACAAGAAGTCACCAACATCCATCCCGCTGGAGGCGTGCTGCCCACTCCCTCTTGTCCTTCCTAATCTCCACCCACACCTCAGCTAACTCCGCTCTACTGGGAATGGGGGAGAGGGAGCTCTTTACCAGGGCGCTGGCTGCAGGGTTGGCTGTTACAGGATCGTTTCCTGGCGGGCCGCAGGTGAAGAGGGCATCGGATGCTGAGGGTCTGATTGGCGGTCAGGCACTGGACCTCCCTTGTCTGCACGCCGCCCTGGCAGGAGCGAGAACACTGGGGAGACCCCAGCTATCAAATCAGACCTCTGCTGTGCTCCAGGCTCCTCCTGCACCCCAGGCCTCCTCTTCAGAGGAGGAGCTGGGGGGCCTCTCCTGGAGCATTATGAACACCCATGCAGAGGGGCCCACCTCTCCTCCCATTAATTAAACTGCCCCCGGCCTTAGCTAGGAGGCACAGAGGGATGTACAAAGAGAGAAGCCTCTCCTGTCCTGGCAGTCCACTCTGGGTAGGGCAGGGGAGCCAGGCACTCACCGGACTCCAGGGTGTAGAAAACCACCGGTCCTGGCAGTCCTGCCCTTGACAGGGCTGCAGGGCAGGGGGCCTGGGCAGGTGGGAGCAGTTGCTGGGAGAAGTCACGTTGAACTCAGTCCCCAGTTTGGACACACAGATGACATCTCTACGCTGCGTGCCAGAGCCGCACTCTGAGGAGCACTGATGGAGGAGACAGGAAGGGAGAGCAGAATTACTCTTACCTCCTCACCCCCGGGAATCCCACCCATGGGCCCCTCCCAGGCGCTCAGCTCACCTCCGCCCAGGGCCCGGTGTACCAGCACCACGTCACCTCACAGGGCCCCAAGCTGCAGGCACGCATGTCAGGGGGCCGGCTTCCAGGTGCACAAGTCTGCTCACCAGCTCCTGCCCCTGCTTCCTCCTGGCTTATCCCGTGGGCCTCCCCGCTCCCAAGGCAGACCACAGAACGTCTCTGGATTCCCGTCCCACACTCCGCTGAACACTGTTGGGAAGCAGAGTGTGAAGGGAGACCGGGGTGACATGGGGAAGGGAGGGGGTCAAGGACAGACACATCCTGGATCCAGGAGTTAGGAAATGCCCTGGGGGACTTTTGCCAGGCAGGGTTCAGGACGTTAGTGTACGTTTTTCTCCAAGTTCCCAACATTGGCAGTGTCTAGCACACAGCAGGCGCTTGCCCAGTCAGCGTTTATGCAGCTGTGTTGGGAAGACACCTGAGAGGGTGTTGAGGGTGGTGGGGGGCACTAGGGATGTTGGGACTCAGCAGGGGGGGAACCCACCTTGGAGCTCCAGTCGCTGTGGAACCAGGCCGTGGTGCAGGGCCCCATGTCACAGGCCTCTCTGCTGGGGGGCCGTGGGGGCCCAGAGGCGCATTCCTGCTCACTCACTTCATCCCCGTTGTTGCCGACACAGCGGACCTGCCGGCTCCTCTGGCCGCGCCCGCATCGCACAGAGCACTGAGGGGACGAGGGGCACTCAGGCCTGGGCTTCCCTGGCTTCCTCACCGTCTTCCCTCTCTGGGCCTTCTGAACCAGGATGGGCCTCTGACACCTGGCTCAGAGGTTACAGGGCTTCATGGGCTGAGGAGCAGGCTGAGTACAGGGCATGTCTTAGCCTCCTACAGTTGGAGGCTCATATGAGATCTCATTTGTAAAAGTTTCTGCCAATTAATACAGAGTTGGGAAAACTGCAGCTCTAGCTCACTGGTGCCCACACCTCCAGGATCCTCCCTGTCCGAGAGCCTCCTTGCCCGGGGCCACCCACCTGGCTCCAGGGCGAGCGAACCTCCCAGTGGCCACAGAGGCGCAGCTGGCAGGGTTGGGTGATGTTGGGCCGGGGCAGGTGCCCGCAGCGCTCTGGGGGCACTGAGGAGCCGCCGCCCCCAAACTCCTGCCGGCAGCGTAGCTGACGGTGCTGGGTGCCAGGACCACATGAACGGCTGCAGGATGTCCACTCGCCGGCCTCCCAGCTGTGGGCAGAGGCGGGGAAGGGACAGAGACACAGATGGCAAAAACAGAGATATGTGCAGCTGCTGTGTTCGGGAAAGGGGACAACAGATTGGGAGTGGGGACCTGTCAGAGGTGAGTGGGCTTATTTAACATTTGGAGTCTGGGATCCCTTGTGGGACTCAGGGTTGTCTTGTGGTGACTCAGATGGTAAAGAACCTGCCTGCAATGCAGGAGACAAAGGTTCGATCCCAGGGTTGGGAAGATCCCCAGGTCAGGAAGATCCTCTGGGAGAAGGGAATGGCAACCCACTCCAGTATTCTTGCCTGGGAAATCCCATGGACTGACTGGCTACAGCCCATGGGGTCAAAAAGAGTTGGACAGGACGCACACACACACCACACATCCTCAACTGTACAAGAAACTAAGAGAATGTAGCCAGGAGACCCTGTATTGAGTGCAGAGTCCAAGTGAGATCCTACAGGTGCAAGGATGGGTCTCCCAAGGGCAACCATTGTGTCCCTAGGACCCCAGCCCTCCCATGGGGCACACTCACTATGGTGGGCATGGGGGGCCGTGGCAGGGCTCCTGGGAGGCTTGGGGCCTGGCACCCATGGCACAGCTGCGTTCATCCAGCTCCTCTCCTGACTCTCGAGAAATGCAGAGGAAGATGGGGCGCCAAACACCTGAAGGGGGATGAAGGGAAGCCCGGGGAGGTGGGATGACTCGGCATCCAGTGTCAGTGGGCCCCAGGCACTGAAGTCTGAGTTGGCACAGAGTCAAGGTGTGATTCACGCCCAGGGCAGGGGATCAGGAGTGCCAAGCTGGGAATATGGGCCAAGGGGGCTGGTGTGTGAGGTCTCACCTTTCCCACAGGATGCCGAGCACTCCGAGTGTCCCACTCGCTTCCAGTATCCGGCTGGAGACCCCAGGGGTGTCCTGGGAGGGGGTGGGGCGGGCATCTGGGGGATCCTCACCTGCCTCTGGAGGGTGCCTGGGGTACGGGCAGGGCGGGGCGCTGAAGCAGGAGGGGGCTCTACCCTCAAAATCTCTGTGCGGAGAGAGTTGAGTAGACAAATCAGATGGGCCTCCTCACCTTCAGCTTCACCCCACCTCCTTCTAAGTCTGGGGGTCAAAGTCTTACCAGGCTGGAGTTGAGGAACACGGGGCTCTGGGGTGGGGTTCTCAAGGTTTGGGGGAGGTGAAGAGATGACATACTGATAGAAAACACCTGGGTTTTCCTCCTGAAAGATCATCTGGGAATAGAGAGAGAAAGTAATGAATGTTTGGGGATGGCCAGGGGGCATCCTCCATCCTTCTGCCCATCCTGAGACCCACAGCTTCCCCTCAGAGGAAAGGCCTCCCCCAGCGGTGCAGCCTCCCCAGGCCCAGGCCCCTTGCTCACATAGACATCCACAGGCTGGGTGGTGGGGCCTTCTGCGGACAGACTCTCCCCAGCGCCCTCCTCCCGGGGAGGACGGTTGTACCGGAAGACAGTCCCGCCAGCGGTATAGGACCCAGGGGGATCCACAGCCCAGTTTCCATTGATGATGGACCGGCCCCCAGGACCTCGAAGTGCTGGAGGTGGCAGATCAGGACACGTGAGGTCATCCGGTCCTCCTCTCCCTCACTTCCCTACTGGCGGGGAACCCGCATACCCTCCCCCGCCAACCTACACACCCCGCCATGCTCCTGTGGCTTCCTCATTGCCCCCACCTGGGAAGGAAGGGGAGGGGAGTCCTGACTTCACTGGTGGCTTGTTTCCTGTGCTGAATGGGGGTGTGCCGGGCAGAACCCACTGACCAGGGATGGAGTGGGGACCTAAGACTCACCAAGGTAGTTGGAGCTGGGCCGGAGCTGGGCGATCTGGAGTCGGGAGGCCCCGGCAGGAATGGACAAGATCTTCTGATAACCCAGAGGGCCACCCCGCTCAGTGAGGTTCCCCGAGACGAGGCGACAGGTAGAATCATCACCCCCACAGACGCCACAGCCATCTGGATGCCGGCCAGAGCCGAGGATGCCATCACAGCCAGGGCTCTGGGGGAAAGCAGAGTGAGGCAAAGGCTGCTGGAAGCCAGACATCACTTCACACCCTGGCCTGGGCTTCTTGGAGCCTTCAGTTCACCACGGGTCTTGACCTTTGCTATACAAGTGAAACTGTTTCTTTGTCAGCACCCCCATCCCCAGCTAGCCTCCAGGAAGCTTGGACGGCCGGGGCGGGGGGGGGGGGGTCTTTCCCGCTGTTCACATCTTTTGCTCAGCCTCACTTGGCAGGTAAGAACCCTCCTCTCTGCCATCTCAGCCTGGTGTTCCGTCATTGTGATAATGAACAAGGAGGTGCTCTCGGAGAGTGAGTAGTAGTTATTAACACTGCCCCCTCCCCATGCGTGTTCCCCCTCTTCCCTCACCAGACAGCGTCCAGCCACACAGATGTCCAGGGCTCCAGGCTGACACAGGGTCCCGTCCTGGACCTTTTGGGTGTGACGGACATAAAAGCGGAAGCCACGGGGACGGCAGTTCAGCTCACAGCGCTGAGAGCCCTGAACTAAGAGACGGGGGAGAAGGGTGCTTAGCTAGGTTCCCTGGTGGGAGGTCAGTTGGGAAAGACTCCAGGGCCCTGAGAACAGCCCTGATGTTGGCAATAAGGCATCCTGAGGTTGCCAGGGGCCCTGTGATTGAAGGCAACGCAACAATTCTGAAAGGTCAGTTGGAGGGTCACACAAAACTCAGATCAGATCAGCTGGGATCACTGAGACCAGCAAAAGGGCTGGCAACTCTGAGAGAGATACTTGAAACTATGATCATATGAGTTCAGAGCTCAGGAGGGCTTGTCTTGATATCAAGGTGACACAGGCCTAAAATCCAAAGGATGGTAACTTGGGAGAAAGTCATATAACATGGTCCAGATCAGTGGCACACCCCCAGCCGGCTGTCACCACCAGACAGGATCTCTCTGCCCATGCCCGGCCTCTGTCATGTCCACTCCACCTCCTGGATGGGTTTCTTCCCAGAGGAGGTCCGCTGAAGAGCACCTCTGAATGCAGCCTCTCCCAGCCCGACTCCTCTGCTGACCACCCACCACATCTGACCCCCAGGGCCCTATCTGAAACCCCCACCCCTTTCTGGGCCTGTTCTGTCTCTTCACCCCAGTCCTGGGAAATAAGGAAGACATGATGCAGGAGAAACACAAGAGCCTACAGAGGAGACAGAGAGGGCTGAGACTCCTTCCCCATCACCCCCCAATCTTCAGCCTCCCTGTCCCAGGGATGGCTAGAAACCTCACCTTCCGTGAAGGGCTCCCACTGGTACAGTTGGCCCATGAACTCCTGGGAGTCAAAGGCTGCACACTGCAGGGCCCGGGGGTCTGGCTGCTCAGGGGGGCAGGGCTGAGGTGGGGGATACAGAGGAGTCAAAGCTGGGGAGGAAAATGGGGGTGTGGGTCAGGGCTGGATTTGGGGGGTAGAGAGGAAGGTCAGGTCTAGGGAAGAGCTCCAAGCCCCCTGCCCTGAAGAGGTCAGACGCCAAGGCCCTTCTCCCTCAGGTCCAGATCTGACGGGCTAAGGACCCAGACTCGGGGTCAGGGAAGCAGAATTGGAAGTCTGGGAGGGGTCAAAGAAGGAACTCACCGCTTGGCTGCAGGCTCTCAGCTGTTCACTCTCCCCAGAACATCTTGGGACAGGGCTACTGGGAGCAAAGAGGCTCCAGAGAGGGCTGGAGTGGGGGCCAGAGCTCAGCAGAGGCAGCCAGCCATCTGCATGGGGAGGGGCAGACTCCGCGAGGGACCCGTGGGGATTCCCCCCAGGTCGCCACTGCTCCCGGCTCTGCTGGCCTCGGCCCCGAGGCACAGAAAGGGAAGGATTAGGGTGTCTGTCTGCCAGCCGGGTACTGGCCCAACCCTGGGAACTTGGCCTTCTTGGCTGAAGGGACAGGTGAAAGGAGCTACCTTCTCCCAGGGATGGGGGATGAAAAGAGGGCTCTGTGCCAGAGGCCTGGGCTCTGGGGTGTGGCCCTGTGGGGGCAGGCCTGGCTCTAGAGGGCACTGCTGTCTGAGCAGCTTCAGGGCTTGGGGGTTCTGCTTGCGGGGGGAGGGTGTGGGCAGAAGGTTCTGTAGGAGACAGTTCTGTTTTCTGGGTGTGGTTTGCGGAAGATGGCTCTGTTCTCGGAGTCAGGGATGGAAGATCTGAGGTTTGAGAGAGTTCAGATCTGGGTGGTCTTCGGGGATGCCTGCGGTTCCGATGGAGCGGCAAAGCAAAGGGCACCCTCCCATAGCCAAACATTCCTGGCTTGATGGGGTCTCGAATCCGGGACCTGAGAAGGTGTTGCAGACATGGAGTCACATGGCCGGCCATCTCTGACCCGGCCTCCCCGTCCTACCTCCGAGCACCAGAGAAGCCTTTCTAAGCCCGGGACCCTTTGCTGCCCTTTCCTTCATCCCAAGCCCCGCCCCTACCGCAAAGCCCCACCCCTCACCTCCTGGCTCCCTGAGTCTCCGGAGCCTCCTCTCTCCCTAATTGAGAAGCAGGACCTCGAAAGGGGCCACCTCTTCCTCGAGGTGTTGGCCTGTATAGGGGAAGGGTTTCTCGGGAAGTCTGCGGTCTGGTGCCCTGACCCCGGGGAAGCAGGGCTTCTGGATGTCTTGGGGGCCTGGGTGGAAGGGGCAGGCCCTGGTGGAGTTGAGTTGTCGGAAGCTGACAAGTCCGGCTCCGGCGCTGTACCCCAACCCCGCAGGGCTGGGAGCAAGAGGCCCACTGGTCCCAAGGACCCCAGACCCCTTCAGGGCCCTGGCCCTCCTCGAGGGGTGTCTGAAGAGAGTGTCCAAACAACACCTAGGTAGACAAAAAGTTCAATCAAAATTAGAATGATTTTCGAGGGAACTGTACCGAATATCTAGTCCACGCTGAGGCTTGGGGCAGTTGTTACTGACACAAGGTAATATTCAGTAGCAGAGGTGGGACTTAAAGTGATATGGCAAGGAGTTAGGGAGTTGGAGAGGCTGGAGGGCCAAGTGTGAGAGAAAGGAGCCAGGGCTTATCAGAGGCTGCAGAAAATGCAAATGTGGTCTGGAGGTAGCGGGTAGTAGGGAGACAGAGATGAAAGGATTGTAGCCTCTAGTCCCTGGCTCACCTCCTGATCCAGGCAGAGCTGAGGGAGGGACAGAAGCAGCATCAGACACAACCGGGGCCTGCAAACCAAAAGCAGGAGTGAAGGGATCAGACAGGAGCCTGGGGAGGTGTTACACCAGGCCCCGCGCCCAGCAGGCTCCCCACATCCTCATACCAACTTCTCAGAAAGCAGAAGTTACTCATCACTTCCCCTGACCCCTCCCAGAGAGGTCCTTTCCCAGACCTCTACAGACTGAGAGACAGTCACTCCCTCCACCATGGCCCCCTACCGCTTACCTGCCTGCCCACTTCTCCATCGCTCCTCCCTCGAAGGCCCTGGGCCCAGGGAGGAGGGGACCGGAAGTAAACACTCTACTGTGGCATCTGGGCTTCGGGTGGGGGTTGCGCTCTGTAAGGACCCAAGCCTGGTCCAGTCTCCGGAAAGCTGGGGATTGGGAGGGATGACTTCTCAGGACATCTCAGAGTGAGAATGGAGGGGTGACGATTGGCCCATCCCTTAATGATCCTAAGGGTAAGAGGGAAAAGGAACACTGCCTTTGTCCATTCACCCAAGCTGAAGGGGTGGAGGTCTGCCCTCAGCCTGCCAACTCAGACGCAGCCCCCTCCCTCAGCTGCAGGAACCTCTCAGCTCCTGTATCCTAACCAGTGACTGTCTCTAGGCCAGCCCAGACTCACACATCTTTCTTAAGAGGGTTGAGGAAGGAGGCTCAGTGAGGACTTTCCAGACATCCTCTCTGAGCTGCTGACTGGAAGCCCCCTGGGCCTTCCATTCCCACCTGCCTCTCAGCCTTTTCTTGCCTTCTTAGCTAATAAGCTCCTTCTGGTACACTCAGACACAACTGTGCTTGTCTCAAAACTTTTCAGCCAAGGGATAAATTAAATGGGCTGATGGTTTAATCTCTAGAGAAGCAGGTGATTTTTCCCAGTGATATTTAACTTCCCTCCAGGGGCCAGCCTCCGGCAGTGGATCAATGAAACCTTCCTTCAGGCAAGACTCTGATGGCTGGGGGAAGCTGGGAAGGGGAGATGCAGCTAGAGATGCTGTTGCTCCCCAGTCACTCATGGGTCTATCTTCTGAAGAGCCAGAAAGTCCATCCTGAAGTCTCAGCTTGATCTCTGGAGAAGTGGAGCTTGCAACCCTCCCCTGGCCTAAGCCTGGCTCTCCCATGTCTCCCCCGGCCCTCCAGTCCCTTCACAATGAGCCCTTCCCACCCCCACTCTTCTTGCTGCTCTCAGCTCTGCTTTCCAGGAAAAAAAAAATGTTTCTGTTGGATCTGAAAGGCACCCAGGAGAGGAATCCAAGGAGCTAATGCCGAGGTGGGCCAGCTCAGGGGCAGGAAAATGACAGAGGGAAGGGCAGGAATGTGCTTGGAGGTAGCAAATCCATTCCCCCTCACCTCCCTGAGACCCCAGGGCTTGGGAAGTTAAGGGAAGGATCACAGTGGTGGAGCCTGTGCCCGAAAGGTCTCCTCAGCTCCTCAGGGTTGGGAAGGGGGTTACTGATGGCTGCTCCTTCCCTTGGCTGGGCTGACCACTGAGGTCAGCAACTCCGCCCTGATGAGGAGGCGGGTAGGGGCTCCAGAGAAGGGCCAACATTCCACCCAAACCTTCAGCTTTCTGCCTGACTCCCTGGTGGTTGAAGGACAGGAGATGGGAGGATGGTCACTGCCACTTCTTGCTGCTGGGTCCCCTCTCCGCTCCCTCTGCCTCTCTTCCCTCTGCTCCCCCAGGCCTGTGTCTAGCTGTCTCTCTCTATGGGCTACCCAGTACACATAATCCAGTCCTGAGCTGGGTTTGGCTTTGGCAGCTCCCTGGAGAAGTGAGGGGTGGGGGGCGGGGTGACGTGAGCTCCTGGGGCCAGGGCCAGGCCTGGCTCCCTCTCTGGAAAAGTCCTACCCCACCCCCTGCATAGCTGGGCAGGGGGCCGGCGCGCGCGCACACACACACACACACACACACACACCCATTGCAGAAACAGATACACATTTGTGGTTTCCAGTCTTTTCATGTTTCTCATCTGGTGAGGCTCGCTGTCCAGAGTGAAGAAAAGAGAGGTCAGACAGAACTGGTCATTCTTGGGCCAGGCTGACACCAGTCTAGACAAACCTGGGCTCCTCCCTGCCACAACTCCACACTGGCCAGTGGAGACCGAGGAGGAGTGACCTGGGCAGAACTAACCCCTTCACCCCCAGGAGACCCCCCTCTGGGGACAGTGGCACTGAGGGGCAGGGTCTGGGTCAGCAGGCCCTGGGGCTGGCCGCAGAGCGCCTATCTTGGCGAGCACTCCGTGGTCCTCCTTGTGCCATCCTGGGTCCTGGAGGCCCATCCCAACAGGTGTCCTGCCTTTCTAGTCGTCAGGCTGAGCTGGATTCAGGGCACCCACTTGTATCCCTCCCAGCGGCCCTGTCCCCCAGCCCAGGACGGAAGCGGATGACAGGGTTGGGGGGATGGGGGGAGAAAAGCATCATCCAGAAATACCTTTCCAGAGGGGAAGGGCAGGAGGTGCCCGGCGCGTGCCGGGAGCTCCTGGGTATGTTTTCCAAGTTTATCCTGTGTAGGAATTTTGGCTGATTCTTCGTCCGAGTGATGGGGCCCGCGTTCCAAGGGATCAGAACCCCCTCCCCAGGAATTGGATCCCAGGGACTGGAAGATCTTCCGAGGCTATAAGAACTGGGGCCGGGGTCGTGGCTGGGGCGCAACCGCGGGGCTCAGGGAACAAGGACGGCGCGGGGGCGCGGGGCGGGTGGCCTAACCGGACGGGGGAGAGAGGGCGACCGGGGACCGAGGTCCCAGGGAAGATCTGTACCTGCTCTGCGCGGCCCCGGCGGCCAGCTAACCCCTCTGCGCCCGGGCGCTCCCTCCAGGCAGCCTCGCTCCGCGGCGGCCACTGCGGCCCCTGAGCCGGGCTCGGGACACGGCCGCCTCCGGCCGCGGCTCCGCCCCCGCCCCGCCCCCGGCCCGCCCGCCCGCCAGCCCGCCCGCCACGCGCCCAGCGGCAGCCCCCCGGCGGCCCCCGAACCCCCAGCCCGCCAAGGCCAGCCACCCTGGGCTGCGGGCCTTGGCCGCTCCCGTCCGGCACCTGCCGACCGCTCCAGGGGGGCGAGGCAGAGGGGGTCCCAGCCGGGTTCCGAGGGAGCCATCGCACCAGGGCTGTCCCCGTACCCGGCTGGGGCTCGAGTCTTCGGGACCTGGGTCTCCCGACCGGCTCCGATTGGGCGGTGCGAGCGCTGCGCCTGCCCAGGCGGGGCGGCCGCGACGGGCGCCAAGAGGTTGGGTGGTGCCGGTACCCGAGCGGCGTGGGCGAGCCCCGCGCCCTACATCGGGGCGTTGCTGGGCCGAGACGGTCAAGCCCGACCTCGGTTCCGCGTTGGTCATGGCCCTCTCCACCACGCAGCCTCTCGTGCGAGCCCAGTTATCCCTGCCTCTCCTAAGCTGGACTGTGAACCATGTGGTTCTGACTGCTCAGGCACCTTCTAAGCCTCGGTTTCTTCATCCATAAATACGGGGCGTAGCGGAAGGAATGCGCTGATTTGGGAATCAGAGGATCTGGATTTGAATCTCCGCTCTGTGATCTTGGATGAATGCTTCAACTTTTCTGTGCTGCAGTTTCCTCATCTGTAAAATGGGGTTAATCTGACATTTACGAATAGGCTTGGAGATATGTCTGCCTAGTTACTTGTATCTGGAAGAATACATCCCAAACTCGGAATTGGGGGCAGCAGCTGAGGAGGGGTTCAGAGAGGAAGATAAAAATATAAGCTTTCACTTTTTTACTCTATATGCTTATATGGTTTTGAATGTTTAACCACAGCCATTATCTGTTTTTAGTTATGTTAAAGAAAGAAAGAGTACACGTAAAATGACAGAGTAGATAAATAGTCATTATTTTTCTTGTCACCACTGTTTTTAAAGTTTTATTTGCCATTTGTTCATGAACTACAGTCATGTATTGTTGGGTCTACTCTCAAGTATTTGAAAGGGTTTTGTTTTTTGTTTTTTTTAGGTGACTTGTCAATATTTTAAAACCAGGATATTTCATAACTTCTCTTGAAAAACAAAACCCTAAAAATAGAAGCTCTAGCAACATTGTCCTGCATCCCCACAAAGTAGCAGGGTCTCGGGTGTTCCCACCTAATTCATACTGAACACTTTCTACAGTTGGTGCAGAGGGAACAGTTAGAACAGTCTCTGGCCTCAAGGAGTTGGGTCTAGTTAGAGACAGACTTGGGAGGTAAGTACTGGATTCAACAGAAGCAAATGTTATCTCAAGAGATGAGGGAAGTGAAAATATAAAATGCTTTTATGTGTAAGAATTATATCTTTATTTGAAGTTTAACATATATATTTTAACTTATAAATTATATAATTTATATTATAAAATTATAATTTTATTATGATTTTTTGTTTTTTCAATAAATCCCTAAGTTCTCTCAAGACAAGGACCATTTAGGCCTCTTTGTGTTATCTCTGTTTTTTCATCTTTTATATTTGTTTTGGTTTTTGTATTTGTAGAGTAATAGAAATATTTGGAATGAAACAGAACAAACAGATGAGTCCCAGGTGCCCAGGCCTGCTTTCTGATGGTTTTTTTTGCTTTCTGACTTTAAACTCAGGCCCACTGTGTGGTGGTTAAACTGGCAGGGAACCCCTGAGACCCCTGTTCTTTTGTGGGGTACAGGACAATATTGCTAGAGCATCTATTTTTAAGTTTTTATTTCTCAAGAACCATTATAAAGTATCCTGGTTTTAAAATATTGGCAAGTCACTAAAAAACAACTTTAGGACAACACAAGTATAACCTAAAACACGTGGATCATTGCTCAGATTGGTCTGCAGGCGTCAGGTTTGTACCTTTCCTGAAGACATCTTCAGTATTGGTCTCCTGCTCCCAGAGCTTAGGGAGGTAATGGGTTAATGCCCCCTCCCCATCTGGGTGGTTTATTTTGGGACTGCTGTTAACAAGTCCTAATTCAGAGGCACATTTATAGTCCTGGATTTGGAGGGGAAGCCCCTTTGCTCAGACTTTAGAGAACAATACTGATGATGAGATGCCCAGCCCACAGGGCAGAAGATATTTTAGGTCGAAGGACTTTTTGTGCCCCCAGGTCACATCCCAGCAGCACTCACTTATCTACCAGGGGGCAAGCTGCAGGACCAGAAGGTGTGACCAAAGACAGAATGGGAAGGGAGCCTGGGAGGAGGGAAAGGTCTGCCTTTGACATTTGTAACTGAGGGTCAGAAATAGACCTTTCCATTAAGAAGTGGCTGCTGACCAAAGAGCTCACGAGATTTATTA